CATTATCACTGAACATTTTCCCTATGTTTTAGCCAATTAAAAATGAAACTGGGAATACAAGTACAATTTCTCTGTATTTTTATTGAACTACTGAGAGCTGATTAAGATGAGATTTTAGACATTTTTCTGCACTTTTATGAATAATATGGTGGTGTATTTTACTTTTTTATGTTTGTTATAAGATCACCTATTCATGTTGCTGATTTGAATGAAATCTCATTTGGTAAAATGTAAGAGAGGGTTTTCTTAAAGTATATAAAACAATAACAATGCCATTCCGAGGAAAAAATCAGAATGAAAAAAGTTAATGGGCAGACTGACTGTCAGTTTGTCCCTTATTAAATAAGTCTTTGTTTAACAAGGCTTTTTTGACCATTTTAATATAATGATGAGCAAATGTGACCAGCTTGTACTCTCTCTTCTCCCCTATTTACACAATGGAAAAAAAAGATCTTTGCAAACTTATTAAAATGTTGGTCCCATGAAGTAAAATAGGTTGAGATTTATGTCTTGAATATTCTTGAATACTTGTACAAAGGATGCATTTCAATAATAAAATGTACAGCCCTTTTCCAGGACTACTGTAAGCTCTGTGACCTTGCTCTGAACAGAGTTAAATTATACTTGCATCTTATGAATATGAGAGTTTACGCCATTGGCACTTTTTACAGTTTACAGATGGCACTTTTCCTACAGCAAGAGACCTGGCCAGGAGGTTAAACCTAGCTATTGCCTATGTATAGAGCACTATTTTTAGACCTCCTAGCCAGAGCTAAACATTGTGCAACACTTGCAAAGCAAAATAGGGCTATGATGTATAGCATCCATCATAATAATTAATTAACAAGCAACAAACAATTGTACAGTATCTCAGACTGAAAATAGCCAATATACTGAAAACTGTTTTTTCCCCTTTCCCAGTATTTGTCCTTTTATGCTATTTTCCAGACATGGATCACCACATACCAGGATCATTTGTCTCAACCGTATACAAATAAAGGATATAGGGAAATAGAGATTCGTAAGTCCATGCTGAATGAAGATAATTTTGAAGATGGTGTTATTGACAGGTATAATTAATATTTATCATGTACACTATAGAATTTTGTGTTGGACCATTCATATAGGAATTTCACTACAGAGAATGATAAAATAAGACCATTTCCACCCTGTCCCCCACATCCACATGCCAAGGGAAATCTCCATGTCCAGGTCTTCCCTTCCCCATGCCAGCACCAGACCCCTGTCCTAGGATCATGTAGAGGGTCCTTTGTGGGATTGGCAATCCGTGGATAAGAGGAGAGTGGGATGGAGCCTGAAGGAATGTACTCCATCTGTAACACCGACAGACCCCAGTCGTCGGCAGGTGGGCAGGATCGAACCCGGGGCCTCTGGAGCTAACTGTATGAGTTTCTACTGCATGAGCTAAAAGCCACATGGCCCTTAGCTAAGGCTGTAAAGCAGACTCATTAATCTCTCTCTAAGTGGTCTTGGTGCCACTAGATGGGACAGAATACTACACACAGAAGGTATGTGGGTTACACATCCTCCCACCAAACCTCAGGAAATCCACTCCAGAATTAAAGTTTTATTAACTTTTGAGTTGAAACTTCTCCATGCTGTGGATCCCCTCTTTTGAGGTTGGGTTCCAGAAGTGGGCTCCAACTGTCATGTGTCCTCCTCCAGCTAACGAAGTAGGACCCTTACAATCTAATAAATACTTGAGATGGCTGTATACATTCTAGCCCATAGATGGCAGTGGTAAACATACATACAAGCTATAATTTGTATGCTAACATTTGCACCAGCTTCTGCTATTGCAAAAGGAATTGCATTTAATCATAGGTGAAAAATATATGTAAAAAAATTAGTGCAAAGCTAGTTTTTCCCCCCACGAATCTGGGAAAAATGTGCTATTTGCTGGTTTAATGACCTATGCAAATGTTTTTCACAGCTCTGAGATAGTTCTTTTTAAATGTTGACCATTCAAACCTTGCTTCTACCAGGTTGCATAGAATAAGTTTGAAAAATTGAACTACTTATGATTATGCTAATTTTCTGAAAATCATCTTTTCTTTTGCAGGGAGACTGGGATGCCTAAAACAGGAGTTGGAGCTGTATTGCCAAGACACCCTTCAGATCACTTTAAGATGTTAGTAATCCTCCCCAAAAAACAGCAAATAGTGATGTGCTGTTTAGGGATAAATTATATTTGTTCTCTGTGGCTTGTAGAGTGTTGAGTGTCTGGGTCTGGGTCTGGAAAGATCCCTAAAACATTGTTTTTACATTAGCTAATTGAGAATTACTTCTTGAATTATTGTATTTAGTGACTCAAGTAACCTTTATTTACAGTAGTAATAGTATATTGATAAAATAATTACACTAATTTTAATCTAAGAAAAAAGAGCAATGCATACAATACACAGGGCTGTAGTACTGCCTATTATTAAGGTTGCCTGACACTTTCTATTATAAAACCCTGTTTTCTGTTACCCATATGTTTGCCGAACGTTAACAATGTGAGATGAATGTTTTTATGCTCGGTGTCTGCTTCAAGCTGATTTTTTTTTTTTTTTTTATTTCAGCCAAAACAATTCAACTGTTTCTGAAAATGAGGTTGGAGAAAAAATGTCATTTTTCAATGTTAAAAAATTTCAATGGGAACTAGGCACCTAATTACCTTTTATGATTTGGGCCTAGAGCACAAAATGTAGCCTGCAGGGGAAAAAGTGTCATCTCACTTTGCTGGTCTGTGCCGTCCCAATATGACCCCTTGTATGCAGATGAACAGTTAGGGTCATCTAAACAATTGTAATTCTGCTTCTGTGGTGCCATGAGAATAACCAGAATCTCTGATGCAATTTTATGCAGCCATTACAAAGATTAATTTAATTAATGATCACAAAATATCAATACCTTACTCTGAATCATATAGGGTTAGGCAGATTGTGGGTTGCATCTTATCCCATTTTTCATTTACCTCCTCCATGTCTTTAATTATTCTTTCCTTCAAAATTTGTTCTTGCATATTGTGGTCAGACTAACTGGTCTGTAGTTGCTCGGATTGCATTTTTTCCCTTTCTTAAATATAGGTGTTATGTTTGCTATTCTCCAGTCATACAGTACTACCTCTGATTTGATATATTTATTAAAAATCCTTGCTATCGGACGTGCAATTTCATGTACCAGTTCTTGCAGTATTCTGGGACGGGGATTATCTGCTCCCCATCCCCTCTGACCCACAATTTGACTGCATTAAGCTCTGTGAATTTAGCTTCTGCCTTGAATGTGGTAATTTCCATTTCTATACACTCATGATCATTAGCCATTGTGCCTTTGCCCCCATGTTCTAGGTTATCATCCTTATTGGAAACTGAGCCAAAGTATTCATTTAGGCTAAGGACATGGCATTTATGACACTTGCATAGAAAGTGCAAAGCTTAATGTGGTAATAAAGCATCAGGTTTAGGATTGGAGTCATGTGCTTATGAAACCAGTTATAAAACCAATGCACTGTGGTTCACTTTTTCAATACTTCACAAGTACAAGCTGTACAAGTATAGTGTCTGCTCCAAATATAAGATGAGGAGTAAGGATTAAAATCTGATGGAGATACACAACAACTTCAACTCTATCTCTGTATTTGCATACCATATTTTGGGGTGTTTATTGTAAAGGAGAACTTCAGCTTAGAATGTCAGTTTGTGATTTTAAAAAATTACAATATTCCTTAAGGGTCTTCTTGCTGAAATGAGTAATACAGTGATATAACTACAGATTAATGAAGATTTTACCTGGGATAGCTTCTGATTTGGAAAAGACATCATGGTTATCAAACATGGAATTTTCTTTAACTCTTAAGTTTTGTTTAAAAGATATAATTGGAAGTTATTCTTGATTTAACAATGTTAAACTAAAAGTAAAATGTGAAATCAGCCTCTGCTGCCTCAGGGTTAAGTACTGGGGAAACTGGATGCCTGGCAATATAAGTCTGAGTATTATAAATGAGAGGTTTGATGTAAGCATAGGATAGAGATTTTGAAACCCAAAGGAACAAGGCAAGTGATCCCAAGAGTAAAGGAAGTGGAGCAGTTCATCATATCCATAGGGCCAAAGAATTTTATTACAAGATCTGTTGGGGTGGACATGAGGACCATGCAGGAGAAGGTGATCTGTCTGGGAGGGGAAAGGGGTAGTAGTTTTAGGAGTTTCCATATGTTATAACATTAAAATACTCAAACTGTAATCAAGGAAATAGAGATACAGTTGGGTTATAATTATATCAGATTCCAATCCTCAATGTAATTTTTTTATAACGTTAAGATGTCCCTCATTTACCATACAGATAGATGCATACAGTCAGAATGCTAATTATGGTAAAAACACTTTAATTCCACAGTGTTTCAGAATCTGCTCTCTTGAATGTAGATTTTTTTTTTTTTTTTTTTTTTGCTTCTCACCGACTGTGTAGCTGTTAAAATTAAATGCCAACTTAAAAAAGACAATGCATAACAATGAGTTTGCTCAATGGACTGAAAAGGAGTGTTTCATGTTATGTGGGAAAGATGTAATCATAATATACATTTCAACATCAAATTAACCCTTATGGAAAAATGATACTTTTATAGTAATACTTGAAGTATTCCACTTGCTTGTAAAAAAGAATATTTTGGAAAATTTCCAGACAATGTCAAAGGTGACCTCTAACATTCTATATGACTAACTATAATATTCAGTGATTGGTCTGTCTTTCTATGTTTCTTTGTGCTCTTAAAGTTTGATCTTATTCAGACAAGTGCAGTGTCAGTCACATCACATTTTTCTTGTTGGTATTCAGCGATCCAAAAAAGTTGGATTACAGATAGGGTTCATAATAAATAACTTTTTATTATTTTAAGGTATTTTTTTAAAAAAGGAGCTAAGTATTTAAATTTAGATTTCCAATCTACTGTTGCCCATACTCAAGATAGGTGTGCAAATGCTTGATGTATGTACACGTAGCTAAGTACGTGTAGACCAGATAGACTGCTTTCATGGTAGCAGCTCTGTGTCAGGGAGGTGGGTGCAAAGTGCAGACGAGACCTCCTCTGTATTGAGTGTCAGTCAATTTTGCTTACTGAAATTTTTGAAGTGTTTGAAGAACTTCAGGCTCTGACCTATAATTTGGTTACATGCCCTGTATAGCTGGTTAAATCTAATGGGTAGACATTGATCCATTAGTGGTAGAGATAACACTGGTCTACAGTTTTTGAGAAGTCGTCTGCTTCAGAGATAAAATGTGCTATTTATTATGTATTTTGATGTGCTGAATTCAAATATGACAATTAAAACAACTGATTGGCTACTGTTTCTAAGATATTTAAGTTTTTACATTTTATGTCTATGTATATTGTGTAGAAAGTAGAGTTTTAATCATACATTGTAAACCTAGGTCTTTTCATGTGTTTATGGTTGTTTTACATGATAATATTTCACCTGTCCTGTTTATGTAACACTTTAAAAATCAGCAAAAGGGTTATATAAATAAAATTTATTATGAAACAAAAGGCAAAAAACTATTCTGTACATAGTTTAGTCCTATTCAGTGTTTACTCGGCGCTTCTTGGCTTGTCTCTTGTATTCATTAAATGGAGCATCTCTTGTCACTGTCCAGAAATACTCTGCAAGCATTGATGGGCTCCATTTGCCCTAATAGCGTTTCTCCATTGTTGCAATGTCCTGGTGAAATCGCTCGCCGTGCTCGTCGCTCACTGCTCCGCAGTTCGGTGGAAAAAAATCTAGATGAGAGTGCAAAAAATGTATCTTTAGTGACATGTTGCAACCAAGGCTTTTGTATGCCTTGAGGAGGTTTTCCACCAACAACCTGTAGTTGTCTGCCTTGTTGTTTCCGAGAAAATTTATTGCCACTAACCGGAAGGCTTTCCATGCCATCTTTTCCTTGCCACGCAGTGCATGGTCAAATGCATCATCTCGAAGAAGTTCACGAATCTGAGGACCAACAAAGACACCTTCCTTTATCTTAGCTTCACTTAACTTTGGAAATTTTCCACGGAGGTACTTGAAAGCTGCTTGTGTTTTGTCAATGGTCTTGACAAAGTTCTTCATCAGACCCAGCTTGATGTGTAAGGGTGGTAACAAAATCTTCCTTGTTGAATCAAGTGGTGGATGCTGAACACTTTTCCTCCGAGGCTCCAATGACTGTCAGAGTGGCCAATCTTTCTTGATGTAGTGGGAATCTCTTGCACGACTATCCCATTCGCAGAGAAAACAGCAGTACTTTGTGTATCCAGTCTGCAGACCAAGCAAGAGAGCAACAACCTTCAAATCGCCACAAAGCTGCCACTGATGTTGGTCATAGTTTATGCACCTCAAAAGTTGTTTCATGTTGTCATAGGTTTCCTTCATATGGACTGCATGACCAACTGGAATTGATGGCAAAACATTGCCATTATGCAGTAAAACAACTTTAAGACTCGTCTTCGATGAATCAATGAACAGTCTCCACTCATCTGGATCGTGAACGATGTTGAGGGCTGCCATCACACCATCGATGTTGTTGCAGGCTACAAGATCACCTTCCATGAAGAAGAATGGGACAAGATCCTTTTGACGGTCACGGAACATGGAAACCCTAACATCACCTGCCAGGAGATTCCACTGCTGTAGTCTGGAGCCCAACAGCTCTGTCTTACTCTTGGGTAGTTCCAAATCCCCGACAAGGTCATTCAGTTCACCTTGTGTTATGAGGTGTGGTTCAGAGGAGGAGGATGGGAGAAAATGTGGGTCCTGTGACATTGATGGTTCAGGACCAGAAGTTTCATCCTCTTCCTCTTTCTTGTCTGACTCAAGTGAGAATGATTCTGGTGCATCAGGAACCGGCAGTCCTTCTCCATGGGGTACTGGGCGTATAGCTGATGGAATGTTTGGATAATGCACAGTCCACTTTTTCTTCTTTGACACACCTTTCCCAACTGGAGGCACCATGCAGAAGTAACAATTGCTGGTATGATCTGTTGGCTCTCTCCAAATCATTGGCACTGGAAAAGGCATAGATTTCCTTTTCCTGTTCAGCCACTGGCGAAGATTTGTAGCACAAGTGTTGCAGCATATGTGTGGGGCCCACCTCTTGTCCTGATCTCCAATTTTGCAGCC